AAGGTTTTAAAATTGTAATAGAATCTAATAATGTAATAGTATCCAAGGGTGGTCTATTTGTAAGAAAATCATACCTTTGTAATGGCATGGACAAGTTCAATATCGATTAAATAAATATGATTTTTGCTTATACTGTTGAATCTAATTCTTTATTATGGCATGCTAGACTAGGACATTTAAATTTTGGTTCCATGAGATTTATGTCTAAAAATGGTTATATTTTCATGGAAACATGAGAACTTAGAAAAATGTGAAATATGCATACAAGCAAAAAATGACAAAGAAACCTTTTCATAGTGTAATAAGAAACTCACAATTATTAGATATTGTGAATTCTGATACACGTGAATTAAATGGAAAATTAACTAGAGGAGGAAAGAGATATTTTATAACTTTTATAGATGATTATTCTAGGTTCACTTATGTCTATTTAATTAAAATAAAAGATGAAGTTTTTCAAAATTTTAAAGAATATAAATCTGTTGTGGAAATAAAAAAAGTAAGAAAATCAAAATTCTAAGAAGTGATAGAGAAGGAGAATATTTGCCTACAAAATTTACTAATTTCTATAAAGAAAATAGTCTGATACATTAAAAAGTGCTCTTTATTCACCATAACAAAATGGATTGGCTAAAAGGTAAAATAGAACTTTGGTTGACATGACTAATGTTATGTTATTGAATGCACATCTATTGTAAGATTTATGGGGCAAAGCATTATCAATAGCATGTCATATACTGAATAGAGTTCTTTGCATGAGTATTAAGGTTTCACCTTGTGAATTTTGGAATAGAAGAAAACTAAACTTGAAATATCTTAAAGTGTAAGATGCTTGACCTTTTATAAAGTTCCTGAACCATAAAAAACAAAGCTTAGACCCAAAGCAATGAAAGACGTTTTTGTTGGCTATGCCTAAAATTCTAAAGCATATAAAATTTTAGATTTAGAATCAAATGTATTGTAAAGTCTATATATGTTGAATTTCTTGAAAATAAATGTCTATATAACTCTAATAATAAATTCGATTGTGAAAAAAATGTCTTAATTCCAAGTTGTAATCAAAGTGATATGATTTCTCATGATACATCCAATAAAAGAAAAAGAGAAGATACTCAAATTGAGTCAAAAAGAAGTTAAGAGCCATAAAAAGAATGCACTTAGATCTAGATTTCGTTGACTGACAAGCATTAGCATTCCTTGGGGAAGGAAAAGTGTATAAAAAATATCTATTTTGTTAAATGTTGAAGATGATCCAAAAACATTCAAAGAAACTATGTTATCAAGGGATGTAGCTTTTTGGAAAGAAATAATAAATGATGAAATAGATTCAATCTTATCAAATAAAGCATGGGTTTTGGTCAATCTTTCTCTTAGATCAAAACTCATAGGTTGAAAATAGGTATTTAAAAGGAAATATGACATAGATAATTTAGTGCAAACCTTTAAAGCTATACTAGTTGTTAAAGGTTTCACATAAAAAGAAGGCATTGATTATTTTGATACTTACGCTCCAGTAGCAAGAATAACATCCATAAGAACGCTTTTGGCTTTGATGTTTATTCATAAATTAAATGTACATCAAATGGATGTTAAAATTGCCTTCTAAAATGGAGATCTTAATGAAGAAATATATATGGAGCAACCTGAAGATTTTCTACTTCTTGGAAATGAAAAGAATGTTTGTAAACTAATCAAATCTCTTTATGGACTGAAACAAGCTCCAAAGCGATAGCATAAAAAGTTTGGTAGTACTATATTGTCAAATGGATTTGTACATAATAATGCAAATAAGTTCATTTACTTTAAATTTACAAAAAATTATAGTGTAATCATATGTCTTTATGCAGATGATTTGTTGATCTTTGGTACAAATATGCTTAGAATTGTTGAAACAAAAAAATATTTGACTTTAGTTTTGAAAATGAAATATCTCAATGAAGTACATACAATCTAGGGAATTAAAGTCAAAATAGATTAAAAAGTAATTTCATTAAATTAATCGCATTACATAGAGAAAATTATTCACAAATATAGTCATTTGAAAATCAAAGAGTTTAATACTCC